TGGGCTATTACAGAGGGTAACTAAGAGTCAACCATCTTGCTGTGGGTCTGGAGTCACATGTAGGTCAGACCAGGTGAGGATGGCAGATTTCCATCCCTGAAGGGAATCAGTGAACTGGATGGGTTTTTCTGACAAGTGGAAATGATTTCATGGTGATCAGTAGATTCTTAAATCCAGAATTATTCATTTATTTGAATTCAAATTCCATCATTTGTCATGGTGGGATTCGAACCCAGGTCCTGAGAACATTAGCTGCATTTCTGGATTAATAGTCTAACAGTAATACCACTAGGTCATTGTCTACCCAGCATGCTGTTTAACAAACGATGTGGTCATTATCACATTGCTTTCTACAGGAGCCTGCTGCACACTAATCTGTAGCTGCCTTTCCTACATCACAACAGTGACTGCACCTCATAAAAGTGTATCGTTATTGGTGCAGGCAATCCCTGAGTTGCGAATGGATTCTGTTCTCGAGTTCCTTTGCAAGTTATTTTGTACGCAAGTTGGAACACAAAAGGAGCTGTTCATTAGTACAGGATCTTCAAAATTACACCTCTGAATGAAATTGTGTTTCACAGAATCATAGAATCCCTACAGCGTGGAAACAGGCCTTTAGGCCCAACAAGTCCACACCGACCCTCAGAGTATCCCACCTAGACCCATCCCCCTATAACCCACGTAAATCAACACATCCCTGAACACTGTGTACAATTTAGCATGGCCAATCCACCTACCCTGCGCATCTTTGGACTGTGGGAGGAAACTAGAGCACCCAGAGGAAACCTACGCAGACACGGGGAGAATGTGCAAACTCCCCATAGACAGTTGCCCAAGGGTGGTATCGAACCCAGGCTCCTGATGCTGTGAGACAGCAGTGCTAACCACTGAGCCACCATGCCACCCTCATTCATGAATCGGTGACCTCCTGTAAGGTGCTTAGCAGCATCCTGAGGCTGTCAAAAAACAATCACAAATCTCTCGATAATTCTATTGCAAAAAAAAGTGTGTTTCCTTGAAAATTGGCTGAAGTAGTTACTCTTGGAGGCAAATAGCTGATAACACACTGAAAACCAACCAACTTGGTGATGTTCCTGAGGTCTAACAGTAGCTATAATCCAAAACAAGTCATGAAACTTTGAGAGAAAGTGTGTGAAGTAATCTCAAGAATACAAAGGTGAGAAGGGCGCTTGTAGCTGCAGTGCTAGTGTCCGAACCTCTAGGCCAGAAGACCTGGCTTCACATTTCAGATGTGTCTTAATATGTCTGAACAGGTCAATTAAAAAAAAAATCTATAAAAAGTTGATATCAGCAACGTACTGGGCAACATCCGACTAAAATATTCCTTTTCTTCAGAGTTAAGGTAACAAGGGAGAATGGAGTTGAGGAACAAGGATGACCTTATTGAAGGCCAGTGCTGGCTTGAAGAGTCAATGTCTACTCTTGCCCCCAAGTCCTATGTTCCAATGTAAAATGCTCTCTCTGAAGCCCATAGCAGACTTCATCTTTTGATGATACGAATAACTGAAGCATACAAACCTTCTAACCAAGTTTCTGGGCACAGAGTCAAAACCATGGCTTTATTCTCTGCTGCAATCTGACATCCACCAGCGCCTACATGTTCACAACATGTTTCTGCCTGTTGTACAGCAACATGCCAGCAATGGATCAGTGGTAGCACAATGTCAGATGTTCATGCTGTCAAACATCATTCAAGATCTCAAGTACGTGAGCTAGACTGACATATCGATGCAGTCCTGAAGGAACACAGCACTGTTGGAAGAGACCTCATTCAGATGAGAGTCAAACCAAAGTCCTCCCAGTTTTCACAGGTGATTGCAAAATATCCCACAACACCATTTTGAAAGGGGAGGGGGGAGCGAAATGTAGGCTTGACTTCCTGCCCAATATTTATCCTTAAAACAACATTTAATAGCATTCCTGTTTATGGGATCTTACTGTGTACCCATTGGCTCCTGTTTCTCTCACACAGAACAGCAACAACTTTTCCAAAAGGCAAATAATCATCACCCTCAAGGTGCCAAATACATACAAATTCTTTGGCCGTCAAATTCCAGCAAAAGTTCTTACTTGTATCTTGAGGAGAGTAATCTCACACCAGGATATGATTCCAGAGACACACACCACACTCTATGACCACATCCAAGACATCATCCTAACATACAAGGACAGATGATTTTTTTTCAGAGTGGGCTATTCAGACTGGGAGGTGAAATATCGCAAACTAAGTCCAGACTCATTGTCACGCAACACCTAAGTGCTCTTTCCAGCATTTCTTCCTTCAAAATCTCTCAACTCGTGTGAACTTTGAGTGTTACACTGTTAGTCTCATTGTTAAAACCCTGGAAAATTTTACGCCTTGTTGAATGAAGTGTACCTGAGTGTTTCATGGTGTATTAACTTCATAATCGCTGCAAAAGATCCTTCACTGACCCTGTAAAGCTAATTTTGCACTTATAGAATATCAGTTTCTCTGTTAAATTAAACATCCACATATTTATAACATGTTTGGAAGTTTATGTTGATATCTTAGCTTCTAAGCACAATTAATTTATTTTACTATCAGCTGTGGCTCAGTTTGTAACAAATGCACATCCAAGTCACAATATTGAGTTCATTTCTCAAAGACAGTAGTAGAAAAGCCACAGTTGACAGTCCAGTGCAGTACTAAGGAAGTGCTGTACAACCAAAGATCTTTGGGACAGATAGCAAACGAAAGCCTTCAATTGCAAATATAAGAAAATTCCTCTAAGTATCAAAGGTTTGTACAGGTGTTACATCTGGGATCCTAACCATTATTTATCCCTCAACCAGAAACAGAGTATGTCGTCATTATTTCTTTGCCGTTTGTGGGATTTTGGAGTGAGTGAAAATTGGCTCGCTCTTTTCTGACATGACAGTGACCACAAAAGTTTAGTCAAAAGTTGGCAGTGAAGCATGTTGAGACATATGGCAGCCACGAAAGGTGCTATATAAATGCAAGTTTCCCTATCTGAAAATTTAAAAGTGAAAGATAAACAATTTTTAACTTCCTGGCTTGTTATCACTCCAACCAGGCTTGCTGATATCACCTCTATCAGCCAGAGATTGAAATGGATGATGGGAAAAAGAAAGTCCACATTAGTTTTGAGCGGTTCACCTCAGGATCAGCAGTTGCAACTATAGCTTCACCACTGACTGTAAAATCTAGCCCAATCAAATCTGGTAGTCCAAGGTCAGAATCACCACAGCCATCAGTTTGAGAAGCCTACTAATCAAAGAAAGCTAATATTCTAAAGTTGCATAGTTGTGTACCTCACTCTATTGTAAAGAGAAGTGGCAACATTTCCCACAATGGCACTGAGAGTAAATATAAAATGTGGCTAATAAGCCATGTCAGCAGCAAGACATCAGGTTTACTTCATGTCTGAATTAGTTGAGCTTAGTGAAGATGACTGTGGTACAACAGGCCACATGATCTCAAGCATTTGTGTAGAAAAATGGGGAAATTCAATTAAGGGATTGAGTCCCCAGGTGCCTTCGCTGATCTCTGCTGGTTCATGTTCAATTGTAATCATCTACATGTAAAACAGCTAGAAATGCCCAGCAGGTCAGCAGCAGAGTGGGCATGGCAACAGCATGAACAGATCAAGATGATAATCGTGCATCAAAAATGGTCAAAGTATGACCAGCATTTTATTTCAGGTTTCCAGCAACCACAGTATTTTGCTTTTGCAATCATTTCCACGGCTGGTCAGCACATTGATACACACTGTGCAGCACACAGCTCAGTCCAATATTCCTGTACTCCAGAGATAGTAGGAACTGCTGATACTGGAGAATCTGAGATAACAAGGTGTAGAGTTGAATGAACACAGCAGGCCAAGCAGCATCAGAGGAGCAGAGGAGTACTCTACCAACCTGTCCCCAGGCAGCAGCAACATTGATCTGATAGGATGAGGGGACTTAGTAAAATAAGTTATTTCCTTCCAAGACAACCATTCATTGGAGTTTACAGGAGAGTCCTTTGTAATCCAAGTCAGCAACAATTTATGTTTCTCAATCTACATTACTTCTCCTTCATCCTTTTTTTTGAAAACATTATTTTTTTTTAATAAGGGCATGCTATTTATGAATATTCTGTCCAATAACAATGTCACAACAGGTGTCACAAGGGACCATTAAATATCTCTTGATTCCTAATCTAGCCAAGTGAAAACTTCTGGGGGTTAGAGGGAGAATGAATTGAAAGAAAGTTGAAAACTCAGTTGTTCAAGAATGGCCGTTCTGAAAATTGCTGAAAGAAAATTTGCGGGGGAGGTCATGAGTGGACAAGTATAGAGACAAATAGAAAGAATAGAGAAGAAAATAGAGGAAAAAATCAGTCCATGCCTTCTAATAAAACAGCTCCAGCTCTAGTTTTGAAAGTGGAATATGATCAATCGATCCACACCCTTTAAAACAATCTTATCTCCAACAAAATACACTCAAATTTTTCAAACCTTACCACTGACCTACATAGGTTTAAACTTCCAGGAAACAAAATCAATCAGTCACTGAACGATTTATTTCTAAAACTGTTAACTAAGATTTTGAAGCCTTTAGAGAAACAAAGCGACGACGACAAAATTTGGAAAAAAAAACTCAGCCATCCAAGCAGAGAGCAGGAGTTTTGACTTTAAAAAAAAGACTCAAGAAACATAAACTAATTTTTAAAATCTGAATAAGTCGTTTCCCTGGGTCCAACTGAAGAGAAGCATGTAGGTTCGGTGGTTCGGGAGAGAGGAGAGTGATATTCTTCCGCCTCCTTGGCGCCTTCAACGGTGATTGTTACAAAATGTAGCAAATAGGAGAAAAAGAAAGAAGCGGAAATTGAAACTAGGGTTTGCAACACTGTAGCGAACGAGTTACAATTGCCAACAATGTAATTGATGAGTTACAATGTAACTGATAGGGAAGAGCCCCGAGAACCTTCAAGCATCGTGTCGATTCTGACTCACCTTGTCCAGGCAGTTGACTTTTTCAGTCGGGTAGACAATCTTGTTACATCTGGCGCAAGATGGATTCATTTTGGAAGCTGATTTTGTTTCCCCTGTTGTCTCTCGATTTCCAGCTGCACGCAATTCGCTCTCTACAATCTCCTTAGAATATGTTCCGTCCTTCTTTTAGAAGCTCTTCTCGTTTCTCTCTCTGTCTGATCTGACCAGGGAATAAACAGGAGGGGCCCCTGAGAGCCCGCTCGGAGAAAATCACACGTCCAACAAGGGGTTGGGTTGAGAGAGACTAGGAGGAGGAGAAGGGTTGTATGTAAGCGCGCACGTTGATGAAGGCGTGCACGTCCGAGAAGCCAGAAGGAGTAATTTGAAACCGGGACTTGTGTCCAGCATGTATGTATGTATGTAATCATTAACCTAAATGAGGGCTTTATTAATCGCTGGAAACAATCGAGAGAGAAAGAGTTTAACAACATTGTGTATGGCGCCTGTTTGAAGTACACAGCATATTTAACTGCATTAAATGTTGTTGCTATGTTTGCAAATGCAAGTGCAGACAATGACATATGCGAGGCTACAGTGAATCATTTTAAAGGAAAATCAACTTTTGGGGTGGGGAGTATGGGAGAATTGAGAAGGTCTTATTCAGGCTGTCCCTCCCCCCACCCGAGTCAGGTTGGGCAACTTCACTGATTCCTGGAAATTTACAAAGAGTGAGCTGCCTTGACCTTCAAGAATTGGCCTGGAATTTCCTGGAACTATAGATACATTTCCGAGGCAAAGCTGCTGCAGCAGCCGAGAAGAGAGCGCACAAGGGCATTACCAACACAATGTCTTCCAACGTTTTTATTAATTTATACTCAACGGTCCCTCAATTGGTGAATAATGTTGTCTCTGGCTCACTCGTGGGTCTTAAATTGAACAGATGGAGCAGGATGTCCCATGCAGTGGGACCCAGACTGCAGGATTTTCTCTGCCTCATCGTGAAGGCGTTTGGACTGAAAGCTTGATGCATCTTGATGAAAAAGTTGTCACCATTTTGAATAATGGATAACAAGACAATGGTCAGTGTCCTTGTAGCATTCTGTTTGCCTTTTCCAGAGTGAGAGTTGAGAAAAGACGACTTGGTGGGCATAAGAATATAGTCATGGAGGGAAGAAGGGTTTTTTGACTGAACTAGTGAGAGGAAGTCATACGATGATACCCAAGCAAGTATGTGCCATTGGAATTGGCAGCCCTAATCTCCCATCAGCGGAAATTTAGCAGGGCAACATTGATAAACTAACATTGATATTTGAAACTAAACCAGTTACAGCCAGTCTACAGCACAGAAACAGAGGACATGGCCCAGGTTTTATAAATCAGTTTGATACCCCAGACAAGTCACTCTCTTTGCACTCTAATTATGTGAAAGGACCTGGCTTCTGTTATGAGCCAGACCAAACCTCCTTCAAATACATCAAGAGAATAGCGCAGACCCTAACTTTTTCTTATTGAAAGGCATGTGTACGGTGCTGTGTTTCAGATGTAATTCAATTGGTTGCACTATTCGACTTTAAGCAAAGCACACTTTATTCTAACTCTACTAAACAGCAACTATTCCAATATAGTAACATCCCATAAGCACCCTCTTGGTAAAGGTATATTCTGTAAACTAGATTGTCTCAAATGCAGTGTTTCTCCAGTACAGGAGGAAAGTACATTAAGAGAAAATTCTAGCGGAGAGAGAGAACTGAAGTGTTTTGCTAAAGCAGCAAGAAATATATGGTGGCTTCAAAACCCCAACAACTGCTGAAAGCTAAACCAAAACCCTGGTTCCATAGGAGCCTGACTCCATCCATTTATGCTGCTTCTATTGTTCCAATAGAAAAAAAAATCCCAAGGCGTCATAAGCTGTTCACTTTATTGGCTTGGAACAGACTGCTCATCACCTTTGTCTCAACCTCGCTTCACAAAACAAAACTAGGACAAAATACATCTCTTTATAGCCGTAGTATCATCATACTTCAAATCATGGTGCAGAGCATTGAGCAGGGACAGTAGTAATCAGGACTAATCTTCTCATTGCTGCCATGGGTGAGTAATATAATGTGAAGCATGCAGGCTATAGACTGGGATGTTAAACCAAAGTTGCTCTCAGATGGATGTTAAAGATCCCATGACACCAACCAAAGAAGAGGAGAATGCCCCCCCACCCTTCCCCTCTAATGTCCTGAACCAATATTTGTCCCTCAAACAAAATCACTTCAAAAAATTTGAGTTCCATGATGTTATTGCACAGCAAGCTGCCTCAAATAGCACAACCATGCATTTTGTTTTTATTCACTCATGGGGTATGGGTGTCACTGACTGACCAGCGTTTTTATGAGGGTCGGTGTGGACTTGTTGGGCCGAAGGGCCTGTTTCTACACTGTAGGGATTGTATGTATGTATTGCCTGTCTCTGGTTTCTCTTGAGAAGGTGGTGGCAAGCTGCCTTCTTGAACCACTACGGTCCACGTGCTGTATGTTGACCCATATGCTCTTAGGAAGGGAATTCCAGAATTTTGACCTAGCGATGACGCTATTGAAAAATCCTTTATTGGGAATGAAGGGCACTGGGAGATCCAAGGATTTGTAAGGTGCTATCTAAACATCTTGTGTGAAAGAAGACACCTCTGACAATGCAACACCTCCTCAGTACTGTCACTGGAGTCTTAGCCTAGATATTGCATTCAAACCTCTGGAGCAGTACTCGGTCCCATCATTTTCTGACTTTGAAGTGATTGTGCTACCTGTATCCTCAGATGACAGTAAGTGGAATATTAGTTAACTGTTTAAATTTGACATGTTAGGCCTCTTGTTTAAAACACTGCATCAAACTATGTGGAAGAAGCTCATGAAGTTTTCAGTTGTGAACTTTACCACTTCAGTTTCTCAACTTAAGCTGCACTTTCCCATCAGTTTGTGTGACTCAGTTTGCTGGAATTTAATGGATTGACACATTCTCATTTGGAATTTATTGAGGATAAGGCATTTATGCTAAAAACTGGCCTAGGGAGTTTCCAAGCTTGCTTTTAATAAAAGAAATAATTAAATATAATTTAAATATAAGTAGGAACAGCAAATACTGAAATTACTCAATAGGTCACAGACCTGAAGCATTTATTAACTTTATCCATAGATGCTGAGTATTTCTAGCATCTTCTATTTTTATTTCAGAGTTCCAGCATCATCAGTATTTTTTCTAGTAAATACAAATAGGACTAGGCTTAGAGGACAGGGTTTGAATCCTTATCTATAGTCCTATATCAACCTGGAAAGTGGTAAGGTGGAAATATTATTCTGGCAGTTTTACAATGTGACTAACACTTGTTGCAGAAACTATGAACTCATTGTCTGTCGTTGGCAGTTTTTTTTCATTAAGACATCAGTTAATAATCTAATATTGAACACTCCTGGGTCACTGCTGTTACCCCAAAACAGGGGGAGAAAGTGTCTGCATTTGCATAGCAGCTTTTACCTTTCCTAGTTAATAAATAAATTCTAAATTAGATCACGAGGATGTATAAATACATCATCCTGAGATAATGCAGATAGGTACAAGGAAGCTGAATTTGTACAGAAAAAGTCACTTGGCAAAATTCACAGCAATACTGAAAATCTTTCCCTACAAATTTCTATGAACTGCCTTCACGTAGGGTTCAACCTATTTGTTTTAAATGGTGGCTTAAAATTGCACCCATTTTCAGCAGCGACTCAGCTCAGAGTTAAAAAGATGTCCCATAGAACTTTACAGTCACTAAAAAGTGATACTTCTGAAATGTAAGTGGCCATGATGTCCACAGCAGGGAGATAAATCATCAGACATTGTATCATTGGAATTGGTGGTCAAGGGATAAGTGTTAGCCGGGACACCAGGCGAACTCCTTTGTTCCTTAAATGTGTAAAATTTTAGGTGTTCCTGAGAGAGCCAACAGTAGCAAAGCTTTGATTTAAACATGTCTGAAAGGGTGCACCTCCAACAGTGCACCACTGACCTCTGAACCTAGAATAAAGTTTACAGCAGACCTTTTAACCCTTGACCTTTGACTCATCAGTCTGGGTATTGCAGCTGAGCCACAATACTGCCGAAACATCTGAAAATACTGCTCAGGCAAACTATTTGGTTACTGACCCCTTTCAAAAGACAATACTTGAGCATCTGTTGAGGACAAGATAAACCTCGGCTGCAGTGTGCCCATGTTTGAATAATTTGCTTAAACTCATTCACACACAAAGTATGTGAAAAATGTGAGGTAATGCATTTCAGAAGGTCTAATCCAGATGGATAATATACAGTAAATGGCAGAACCCTTAAGATACTGATAGGCAGAGGGATCTGGGTGTACAGATACACAGGTCACTGAAAGTGGCAATGCAGGTGGAGAAGGTAGTCAACAAGGCATACAGCATGTTTGCCTTCATTAGCCGGGGCATTGAGTTTAAAACTTGGCAGGTAATGTTGCAGCTTTATAGAACCTTAGTTAGGCCGCATTTGGAATATTGTGTTCAATTCTGGTCCCCACACTACCAGAAGGATGTGGTGGCTTTGGAGGGGGTACAGAAAAGTTTTACCAGGATGTTGCCTGTTTTGGAGGGCATTAGCTATGAGGAGAGGTTGGAGAAACTTGGGTTGTTCTTACTGGAATGACAGAGGTTGAGGGCTTACCTGATAGACGTCTACAAGATTATGAAGGGCGTGGATAGTCAGAAGTTTTTTCCCAGGGTGGAAGAGTCAGTTACTAGGGGACATAGGTTTAAAGTGGAAGGGGCAAGGTTTAAAGGTGATGTATGAGGCAGGTTTTTTACACAGAGGGTGTTGGGTGCCTGGAACCCGCTGCTGGGGGAGGTAGTGGAAGCAGATACGATAGTGACTTTTAAAGGGCGTCTTGACAAATAAATGAATAGGATGGAGATAGAGGGATACGGTTCCCGGAAGGGTACGGGATTTTAGTTGTGACGGGCAGCATGTTGGTGCAGGCTTGGAGGGCCGAAGGGCCTGTTCCTGTGCTGTAATTTTCTTTGTTCTTTCTTCTTTGTTCTTTGTATGGCTACTTGGGCAGTGCACTGTAAGCTGTCTCCTTGTGTTGCATGCATGTTCCCTTAGACGGAGGAAGGGAGAATCATGAAATCATACAGAGGAGACCATTCAACCCATCATGTCTGCATCAGCTCTAAGAGAGATAATTTGAATACAATTAATCCCACTCTTCTGCCCTTTACCCATACCCATGCAGTTTTTTTTAGCCTTTAAGTCATTAATCAATTCCCCTTTGAAAGTTACTGACAGCTGTGCTGTCACTTACCCTTTCAGGCATAAAATTAGAACATTTTCCTTGTCTCTCCCCT